CTTTTCGCCGTGTTTCTGACCATCTTTGCCACGACACAGGCGTACGCACGATTTGATACATCTGGATTTTTTTGTGCGTACGCTGTTTTCTGTATTTGACCGTACGCCACATTTCAGTAAGAAATCCACGCAAGCCTTTGTACATGAGGCCCATGATGAATAAAGTTTGAAACATGTCTGAGCAGACCCTGAAAACTCCGCTGTCTGTCTGTTGGCATCAATGTCTTGAGCGACCCTTGGCTACAGCTTAGATCTCCATGCGGCAGATCGAGTGCCTCCCCCGGTCAAAGTGAGTTGGGCAGACCGCCTGGGCTCCACGTCCCGGGGGAGAAGCCAAACCCACTAAGCCTAAAAGCATATTATCTGAATGCACATTATCTGGCATTCAAATGACTGATAAGTGCCTTCCAACCTACTAGGAGGTAAAGGAGGGACAGTCTGCAGACATTTTGGAACTGATAACCTCTAATAACAGACGTTTATTGGACTGACAACATTCCACTGGTTCCTGAATGCAACACCTTGTCCAGCCTGTGTTGAGCTGTCAATCACGATTCTGCACCACCTGTCATCCGAGGCCCCGCCCCTCACGCTAAATCTGGGTCTTAAGTCTGAAACTGAAAATAAAAAGTTTGAAACTGAAAAAAATGTTGAAACTGAAAAGACAAGATGTTTAAAACTTTTCCGGATTCTAATACATTGTTTTTCAGTTTCAAATATTTTTTTCAGTTTCAAATATATATTTTCAGTTTCAAAATTATTTTTTCAGTTTCAAAATTGTTTTTCAGTTTCAAATCTCCTTTTTTTCAGTTTCAATTTTTTTGAACAAAACTTATGACCCCAATTTAGCTCCAGAGTCATAAGGCATCAGTCAGATATCTTGAAAGAGGATTTTATTCATTAACTGAACAATGTTCAGGATCTCAAGATGGAGGCATTCATCAGTGGGCTCATCCCCACAGAATGAGGTGGCGATGAAAAATTCCAAATAGGGGTCTCAGCAGTACATGTTGTCTTGTGGGTGGAGGCGGACCTACCCATGATTGGTCAGAATGATATGTCTTGTGGGGCAACTTAAAAGAGGAAGTAATAATAGTAAAAAAAAAAAAAGATTTATTGACTGTCTAGGTACAGTTTAAAACAGAACAATGACTCAAATAATTTTTTTCGAAAAAGTAAACATAATTTGACTTAAAATTTCATGTGGCTAGCTTCTTCCTGTCTCAAATTATGACCAATATTCATATTCATACTGATTTTTAGCAATCTTTTTACAGGCTAGTTGAATTGTTTTGACCAACCCTCCATATGTACGGCAATCAAATTTTGTGCAGATAGCACCTTCCTTTCTCAAGTTATGTCTAAAATTAATCTTAAAAAAAGCATTGCTTCCTGTCTGACTAGGCCAAGCTACTCCATGAGTAGGGCCGTCTCCGCCTCCGCCCAAAAGACAACATGTTCTGCAGAGACCCCCTTCAGTACTTGCTGATGTCAAACAACTGGATTAAAATTTTTTGCTGACAAGTCTGTCATCTTTATCGACAATTTCAACGTGGTTTTGGAGTGAAAACACCTGTTTAAGGCAGATGAGCTCAGTTTGAATCCTTCTGGTTCAGAATTAACGGCTTCAAACATCCTATTTTGTAAACCTGATGAAACAAGTTCCTGTTGAATATAAAGAACAAGAGAAATCACATCAGCTGATAGCCAAGCTATGTGGAGGTCAAACAGAAGTTGGTGACACATGGATTGAACACGGAGTACAGATGGAGGGGATTTCTGTGTCACCAAAGTGAAATGTTCCCCAAATTCTAATAGACAAACTACCAGACCCCATTCCTCTCCACCAGAAGACCTCCCAATTTCTGAGAATGAGAATGTAAAACCTACCGCCATCTGACATAAACCGGAGTACAAGGAAAGCCAGAAAATGTGGACCTAGGCCACAATGTCAGCCACATGCAAGTGCAACTGTCATCTAATAATCGTCACATTAATGTTATTGGCTAAATACCACAATTAATGATGATAAAGTTGTGTGTCAATGTTGCCCAACCCTAGATGGCACTCTACAGTATGTATATCACAACTGGGTCTTATTCATCAAACCTCAAATAAACACCTCTAATGTGACACACAGATAAAACTGGTAGGAGCAGCATATGCAAATTGATGTTATTAAAAAACAAAAAATAAACTTGAATTCTTTGTGTTGTTGAYATCCCAACCACAAGGCCAGAAACTAAGAGGAAACCCTAAATCTTTTACAATTTCAATACAAATTTCCCCCTAAAGAGAGACATTTGTAACTAAATCATGATCTGAAAACAGTTCAGGTTCTATGACCCGTTTTGTAGGATTTYAACCAAGGATTCAGCATAACTGAGGTGAAAGCAGAAATTGTTAAWATTGAGAAAAAACTGAACCCGAACTGGAAGTAAGAAAACAGGGTCTGGAATTAATTTTAGTTTTCAGGTAAGTGGTAAACAGTAGATATGTTCACATGTGCAAATTTTTTCATCGGATTGAAATGTATKCAGACTAAATAATCMGAATGTATCGTTTACATGGGCACAATCCGATCATGACGAGTGTTCACATGCACCAGGCTTTTATTCAGAACAGAAGCACTGACATGCACAGTTGCTAACTTTCCCTAAAAAACCCACAGAAGAAGTTCTACTTCTGTGATGAACATAAACAAAGCTTCTGAGCACAGAATGGACCTGCGACAGGTTTTAATAATGGGGGAGATGTTACTGCACTCCCTGGTTGAGCTGCAGGTGATGCAGATGTTTTTATATTTTGGGGTGAAGCGGCACAGGCTGTGTGTCTTCCTTATTTATTGAATGAGAGAACAGGAGGAAAAGTTCTGTGCTGCTGAAAACTACAGCGCTGCTGTCCCTCCCTCCCTCCACAAATGTGCAGAAACCGGTGGATGAAAGTCAGCAGACATGCACAGTCAGGTCAGTTTTCCACAATCAGAATAAAATGATTGGAGCGTTTACATGCACGCTGTTCAGATTATCAATCGGCATTAACCACCTCTCTCATTCCGATTACAAATTTATTCAGAYCGAGCTGAATTGGGTCAGAATAATCCAAATGGGGTGTTTACATGACACATTTTTATTCCAAATGGCCATTTAATCCCATTACTTATGCCCATGTGAACGTAGCTAGTGACTGTGAGAGAATCAAAATTGCTCCTTATGTTTTCTTTTTTCACAGGTCTCATCTCATAACATCTTTGAGACGGCTGTGGCTGAATGGTTAGGGGAGATGTTCCTCCAATGTGAAAGTTGACGGTTTGAACCCACCGCTAGTCAGTCACATGTCAAAGTGTCCCTGGGCAAGACACTGAACCTACACTGCTTCTGATGTGCGTCCCATCAGTGTATGAATGTGATTTAGATTAGTTTTGTAGACTGCTGTGTGAACGGGCCAATGAGGGCACAGGATGTTTTTTCTGGTTGGATAGAAAGACTCAGTTCATTCACCATATTGCTTCTTAGTGAATAATATTGATAAGTCAACAACAATAACAGTCACAGACAAAACAAACTTTAGATGAATTCATTTCATGTGTGCTGCTTACAAACTCCATGGAGCTGTTGTTGGCAAAAAATTCTTGAACCTTGACGTTCCAGTCTGATCTCAGTTTAAGGTTTCCTTCACACTTCTCCGGGTCGCACATGTAGCAGTTCCAGGGATCAACCTCTTTTAGTTTGTCAAAGGTTTCTTCAGCCACCAGGATGTTAAGACAGTCCTTACAGAAACACCTGGAAGACAGAGGACAAAATGATCAGTGTGCAAACTGAGAAAAGGATGATTTTCAAAAATTATCAATCACTGTTACAGCAACTGTCTGTTAGAAGAATTAAAATTCATGAAGAATGTGAACAAATACATTAACCAAAACCACCAGAAAATTTTGTTCMAACTAGGAATGTGATTACTTGAAATAGGTGGGGACAAAAATAATCCAGACATACTCAGTGTCGATATCTTGATGTCTGGTGTTTATTTTCCTATAGATTAGCTTGCTGACTTAAAAAGAGTCTTTGATTGTTGATTCATAACACAGAAACAGAAAAAACATGTTACAGTGCGAATGTTTCGTGTCCTGTAATGACTGCACTTCTCTTGGGTGTTTTGGAGCAAAATTTTAATTTGCATCAACAAGAAAAAAAAACTGTCATAAACACCATCTTTTAGGCCAGGCGTGTCCGGTCCTGACCCTTAAGGGCCACTAATCCTGCATGGTTTACTCATTTCCCTGCACAAACACACTGGATTCAGTGAMTGAATTACTCTTGATGTTTGCAGAAGTCACCCATTCATTCAGATCACGTGTTTGAGCAAGGAAACCTCTAAAGCATGCAGGATAGTGGCCCAGGAGTGGACACACCCGTTTCAGGTCATTCAGTTTATTCAAAATAAACCTGTTTCTTATTTAGTCCATGGGCTAGGTTGGCTCACCATGCACCCCCCCACCCCCATGAACCCTAGGGTCCATTCTTTCAGAAAATGCATGTTAACAGAAAAAAAGTTGGGTCTCACTGACCCCTTTTTGGCCACACCCCTTTTCTATTGTGACCATCAAGATTAGGGGTRCAGAAAACTTAATGCCAATAACTTTGMTATAAACCAAACAAAGTTTAAAAACAAGGTATCAGCAGATTTGYATTGATTAGCTGAGCAYGGAAATCCACCCTAGCCCATGGACTAATTACTTCTGGACTAGGTTTTAAAGAAACTATTATCGGTGAAAAAACACAAATCAGGCTGTTTCTAAAAGTCATTGTCTTTGTAACACTTCAGAAGAACTATAGCTCTTATAGATATAAAAATATCAGTTAAAAAATACAACTAATCCTCTCAATCGCTGAAAATAATTTATTTCCCACATTTTAAATGAATCCATGATTAGTTGTAACATTAGACTTTATTTG